ATGGCACGTGTGCCCACAGAGAGGGCTCTGAGTGCCACCTCTGGCACCCATGCCATAGGTTCGCCACCACTGCTCTAGGCTGATCCTGCATTGAGCAGGGGGTGGGACTGTATGGCCTGTATGGCCCCTTCTAACTCTGGGATTCTAGGATTCTGAACTTTTCTTTGTTGCTGTCCTGTTGGTTTTTAGGGTACCGCAGGGGGCACTAGTCAGTCCTCAGGCTTGAGAGATCTACCTTTGGGGGAGGAGGTGGGGGACACAGCATCAGAGTCTATCACGTATGGCCAGTCAGTTCTATTGATTTGTATTGCTTCTGCCTTGTTAGCGATCCCGTTTAGTCCATGAGCCAAGGTAGAGTTTCACTCATTGTCCCCAAACAGAGGCATTAAATGTTTTCTCTCTCTAAAAAGCTTATCTGTGGCTTGCAAATACAATACATCTGTAGTTTGCTGTACAATAAACCGTTACTTATTGAATGCGTGAGATCCAGGGTGGTCCTTGAACTTGGCTGTCTCCATTAACGCCCATGAAATTTGGGTTCTAACAGATGAACTCCTTTGAGATCCAAATAGTGTTAATTTACTCACTGGGTTAATAAGTGACTGTGCTGATGGAATGGTGTGAGCTACATGAGACGTTACGGTGTTTTGAACCTGTAAATGCTGATCATTGCAAGATAGTACAGTCTGGAGTCCTGAAATGTCATACTGAGAAAAGCAAACAAATACAGGTTAGCGGTGTATAAACTAGGTGCTTCTACTCCCTAACATTTATTTCAAGGTATCCTGTATTGCTGAAGCTTGTTTTCTGTTAAGAAATGGAGTTTCAGTAGTATACATCGATGGCAGACTTATTCTGCAACACCACTGCTCTTGAACGGCTTCTTTTTCTGCAAATGTAGGATTAGATCTAGTGGAGGGCTCTCAGGGACGGAAGGGGTTTCCGTCTGCAGGGTGTGACGTTCTCCTCTCCCCCCAATGTAGCCCCAAGTGCCTCCTGAAACGCAGCTCCTGGGATGTAAGGGAACCCAGGAACAGCCCGACTGGCAGCCGGAGGTCTCTAGCAGGGTGTGAGATCAGCAGACCTTTTGGAAGTTTGACATCTCTCTTTGAGACTAAATACCTGGATGGTGCTGGAGAGGAAGTGTTTAAATCTACCACGTGTGAACTTGCTAGAAAATAAATGTATAATCCTGTCAAATATTCCGAGTGCTTTCTTCAACCTTAATTGTAGAGAGGCTATACATCTGAGCTGCATACCTCCTGTCCATTCTGAAGTGGATTATAGCTTTTACAGTGTGTGATTCTCTGGACTTAAATTCTTGGAATTGCTCTCAGTGTGTGTGATTCTGCAAGGCTCAAGGCTCTGAAAAAAAATCTATCCCTTACCAGAGGCCCAGGAAATGCATTAGAGCATGTCACACCTCTCTATGCTGAAGAATTCGATCCCTTGTCCCAAGCGTGTAGCTCACTGGA